CTACAATACACTTCTTTTCGACAGTCAAGTGGGGGTTACGTTTTTGGCACGTCATACAGAATAACCCTAAAGGCACCAAGGTGGCGGTGCCACCGGCTTTATATTAAATATAAATATAGCTGTGAGCAGCGATAAAGGGCCAAAGCCGGCGGTACCACCATCCCGGTGCCTTTAGGTAACTAAAGGCATCAGGGTTGCGGTGCCACCGGCTTGGGCCCGCAATCGCTGCTCGCAGCTATATTTTATATTCAAACTGAAAACATGATGTGATTAACACTCAAGTCATATTATTACATGCAAGTGTGTTTGATTTATGGACCAAATTTTCAGATCAAGTTTATGGACCAAGTTAATTTAATTAATAAACTAATTATATAAAACTATTAATGCACTACAATTAAACTGGTTATATGCCTTTACTTATAAAAATAAAAACTTATTTAAAAAATACCAGGCTTAAGGCATTTATTTTTTATGCAGGCCATACACACAGGAGTGAAATGGTTAAGACCCCTCCCCCTACAAACACACACACATACACAGACAGGCAAAAGAGAGTATGCTCAGATTGAGCAAGACCACATTCAAACAAACATATCTGACTTTCTGTGGGTCCTAGCTAATGAGTGTCAATTAGAAAGTTGTCCGGCTCGAGGAGTACAATATACATACCGATTTTTGTAACTGTAGATAAAACTAACAACCCCACTTTTGTCAAAAGGTGGCGCTACTGAGCCCTCACCACGCCCGTTTCTGAAACTTTGCACGTGTCTACTGGCTAATAAATGTGATGTGTCTGTCGAGTTTCATGCAATTTCAAGCATGCTAAGGGTCTCAAAAGCATCCTAAAAGAATGGTAACGTTTGATGCGTCGCCACGGCAACAGTTTCAAAGATATCAAGAATCCATTCACAGGTCTACATCTGCCGTATGTTTACATTATACAGATGACGTTTGAAGCAAATCGGGTAAAAATAAAAGGGTGATATCAAAGCATTTTGAAAGTGAAACACTTCCTGCTGCCAGTTGGTGGCGCTATAACTTTGACTCACAATAGTCACATCCATGTGATCGTCCTCTTACAGCGAACACACTGCTGAAGTTTCATCAAGATCAGTTAATGTATGCTGAAGTTATAACACACTTCCTGTTTCACGTTTCTCGCCATGATTTCGTTTCCTCGCCACGGCCAAAAACGTTCGAGATATAAAAAATCCCCTCGCAAACTTTCATCCTCAATGTCTTGACTTCATGCTGACCGAGTTTTGTCGAATTTGGATCAAAGCTCTAGGAGGAGTATTTAACATTCCATTGCGAGCGTTTTACAAACAAACCTCAATAGCCGACTTCCTGTTGGGCTGGGGTAAAAAGTAAAAGCGGAGGTATAGATGAAACTATGAGATCAACATGTGCACCGAGTTTCATATTATTATATACAAACGTGTTTGAGTTATGGACCAAGTGTTCGGACCCCGTTCCAGGGGGCGCTGACGAGCCGCCCTGCCACGCCCGGGTACCAGCTTCAGCCCGGCTCTGATGGCCGCGGGTTCTGACCCATGTGCAAAGTTTCAAGAGTTTTCGAGCACGTTAAGGGCCCCAAAAATGCCCAAAAGGTTACAAAATAATAATAATAAATAATCCTTAGGAAAACAATAGGGCCTTCGCCCTTTCAGGGCTTGGGCCCTAATAATATAGCTGCGAGCAGCGATTGCGGGCCCAAGCCGGTGGCACCGCAACCCTGATGCCTTTAGTTACCCAAAGGCACCGGGATGGTGGTACCGCCGGCTTTGGCCCTTTATCGCTGCTCACAGCTATATTTATATTTAATATAAAGCCGGTGGCACCGCCACCTTGGTGCCTTTAGGTTTATTCTGTACGACGTGTAAAAACGTAACCCCGCTTTGACTATCAAAAAGAAGTGTATTGTAGAGCTTGCATCAATGCGGACTCGATGCGCTGTGCGCTGTAACTCCATGTGGCTTTAAGCGCATCATTCTCCACTCGGGATGCGCATAAGCGTTTTGTGCCACACTGTACTGAGCCTTTCATATCATAATGCAGTGACGAAATGACAGATTATTAATTGCCTTTCTTGTTCTGTTCCATCTATTATATGTTGATAATAGATAGGACAGAGCACTAAAAACCTCAAACAAAGCACTAAAAACTTAAGCTGTTTGCTGTGTAGTCTGAGAATGAGCTGTTTGATTTGCACCCTCTTCCTCTTCACTGTCCTCCATAAAAACCAGCTATCCAGGTCCATGTTGTTCTAGAAAGTTTGTATGTTGCTGCCTCAATTAACATCTCTGCTATACATTTAAAACATGGCTATATCTAAAATAATTTATCTTTTTTGATTTTTGTCATCTTGTTTTTCATGAATATTTTACAACAATACAAAGAGCAATGTGTATTTTCCATTAATATAGTTTGTAATGGCTTTTTTTGTCATAGATTATAATCATATATTTTTTGGATTTGTTATTTATCTTTATAATGAAGTTGTCTGTATTAAGTAGATTGTGTTTAACACACAAGAGTGATTTATTAGTTCAACACATAGTTATAGAAATTCTACTTTATCTAAAAAAAACCCTGCACTTTATACACACACACACACACACACACACACATAAATACATGTAAATAAAAATACCAAAAAAAAACATCAAATGTGTTTTTAGTCAGAGTATTATTTTATACAGAAACAAATATTTGTAATTCAGATAAGAATGAAGTTAGTGTTTTAAAATCTTAAGGAAAACAAATATATTGAAATATAGCACATGAATTTTAAATTCATTCAACTTCAATTACAAATACAATCTTACTTTTATTTAAAGCAAACTATACATTTAAAAGATGGGGGTTATATGCCTATTTTGTCATTTAAAAATATTGTTATGCAAATTGTTATGCAAAAAGACAAGGACTTAGAGACAAGGACTTGTAGGAAAAATCACAGCCAGCCACACACACACACATAAACACAGACAACAGCCCTCCCTCCCCACACAGACACACACACACACAGAGAGAGAGAGAAGAGAGAGAGAGAGAGAGAGAGAGAGAATCGCAGGGGAAATAAATCCATTCAAACTACAATATCTGACTTTCTGTTGCTCAGAGCGAATGACTTTAAATTGGAAAGTTGATCGGCTTGACGAGAACAATATACGTGGTAAGTTTTGTAACTGTAGGTAAATTGAGCAAAGTTATAACACACTTTATGTGTCCTTTTTTAGTCATAAAATTCATTTCCTCGCCACGGCCAGACCGTTCGAGATATCAAAAATCCGTCCGGAATTGAGCATCCTCAATGTCTTGACTTCATGCACACCGAGTTTGGTTGTGATTGGTAAACACATGCATTGTGATTTGATGTATTTCTCCTAGGACAATTATTCAAACAACCCATAATTCATAATTCATAAATAACTTCCATTTGAACTGTCATAAAACTTAGAGCACGAAAGTTGTTTGGCCTGATGTGATCTATAATTGTACCGAGTTTCATATTAATTCATGCAAGTGTGTTTGATTTATGGTCAAATGTTCAAATCCCAGTCCAGGGGGCGCTGTCGAGCCGCCCTGCCACGCCCAGTTACCAGCTTCAGCCCGGCCCTGATGGCCATGGGTTCTGACCCGTGTGCAAAGTTTCAAGAGTTTTCGAGGATGTTAAGGCCCCGAAAATGCCAGAGAAGTCGCACACAGCAAATAAAGGGTTAAAATTAACCTGACAGGCGCCCCTCCTCTCACTCACACAGAGGGACACTGAGACACTGGCAAAATTCTGAGATTTTCTCTACATTCAAACAAACATATCTGACTTTCTGTGGGTCCTAGCTAATGAGTGTCAATTAGAAAGTTGTCCGGCTCGAGGAGTACAATATACATACCGATTTTTGTAACTGTAGATAAAACTAACAACCCCACTTTTGTCAAAAGGTGGCGCTACTGAGCCCTCACCACGCCCGTTTCTGCAACTTTGCACATGTCTACTGGCTAATAAATGTGATGTGTCTGTCGAGTTTCATGCAATTTAAAGCATGCTAAGGGTCTCAAAAGCATCCTAAAAGAATGGTAAAGTTTGATGCGTCGCCACGGCAACAGTTTCAAAGATATCAAGAATCCATTCACAGGTCTACATCTGCCCTATGTTTACATTATACAGATGAAGTTTGAAGCAAATCGGGTAAAAATAAAAGGGTGATTTCAAAGCATTTTGAAAGTGACACACTTCCTGCTGCCAGTTGGTGGCGCTATAACTTTGACTCACAATAGTCACATCCATGTGATCGTCCTCTTACAGCGAACACACTGCTGAAGTTTCATCAAGATCAGTTAATGTATGCTGAAGTTTTAACACACTTCCTGTTTCACGTTTCTCGCCATGATTTCATTTCCTCGCCACGGACAAACCGTTCGAGATATCAAAAATCCCCTCGCAAACTTTCATTCTCAATGTCTTGACTTCACGCTGACCGAGTTTCGTCGAATTTGGATCAAAGCTCTAGGAGGAGTATTTCAAATACCATTGCGAGCGTTTTACAAACAAACCTCAATAGCCGACTTCCTGTTGGGCTGGGGTAAAAAGTAAGAGCGCGAGGTATAGATGAAACGATGAGATCAACATGTGTACCGAGTTTCATATTATTACATGCAAGCGTGTTTGAGTTATGGACCGAGTGTTCGGACCCCGTTCCAGGGGGCGCTGACGAGCCCCCCTGCCACGCCCAGGTACCAGCTTCAGCCCGGCTCTGATGGCCGCGGGTTCTGACCCGTGTGCAAAGTTTCAAGAGTTTTTGAGCATGTTAAGGGCTCCAAAAGTGCCAAAAAGGTAGTAAAATAATAATACTAAAGAAAAATAATTCTTAGGAAAACAATAGGGCCTTCGCCCTTTCAGGGCTTGGGCCCTAATTATAATAATAATAGTAAAGAAAAATAATCCCAAGGAAAACAATAGGGCCTTCGCCCTTTCAGGGCTTGGGCCCTAATTAGTGTGCAAGTCTACTATAGCTATTAGAAGTGCTTATCCTTGTCCAAGAAACATTGAAAACCATTATAACATATATCACAGATTAAAAACAAACAATACCCACAACAAATACTGGATGACACTTTCCTTGAACCCCCCTGTTGGAAAAACTTGATAAACCTCATAACCAGGTCATTTTTTTTGTATATACAATATTATCAAGGGGTTCAAGTTAAGTTTTTCTTCTGATATCCAAAATAAAAAAGGTTAAATTAAAGATGGAAAAGGGAAAAACCAACTATAACATGGAGGATCCTATATGTATGAGCACCCCATACATCGTGACTACAGGCTATGGTGCCATGAAGACAACGTAAATACTAGAAATTACTTAATCCAGTACCTGTCAACCTGAGGATTGCTCCTGCTGGTGAAAGAGAAAGACACATGCATCAAGAAGAGCGAAACATGACTAAGAGAACCACCTGAAAAAAGTTGTTATAACTAGAAAAGTAAAAAAGAAAGAGGAAGAGGAAAAGGCCTTGGATTATCTGGAAGAGGCCTTCTTAACCCCAGGATGGGATCTTGTGGGTCCTTAGAAAGCAAAAAAATTACATCCGCACACTGAAGTTACAGCTCCATACATTTATCTATAAATAAACAGCGCAATGTTCCGACTGATCACCAATGTGCCTGAAGAAGACCTGATTGGTCGAAACATTGCCCCGCCCGTTCGTTAATAAATAAAAAATAATAATTTTTGAATCTTGCGGGTCCTTGCATCTTTGATAGTGTTGATCTTTATCACGATTAAATATAAGGTTTATGATCTTGACATCCACGCAAAAGTGAGCAGAGAAAGAGGACTAACCTGGGTTGTAGGAGGAGGAGGAGGAGCAGACTCAGGTGGCAGTGCGTGTGCGGACCGGCTCCGGGGCGGAGGCTTGGGAGATGCCAGTCCAGGCTGAGGGGCGGCAGCGGCTCCAGCAGGTGCTTGGGGGGCCGGCTGAGGCATCAGAGGGGCAGGAAAAGTGGGCTGCATTGGTGGAGGGAGCTGGGCTTGGACAGGAGGCTGCACTGGTGACATAGACTGAGGCTGCATGGGTGATATCATCTGAGGTCTCATGGGACCTGGCAGTGTGGGAGGTGGACCTGAAAGACAGACACACACAGTAGATGGTTAAAGATTGGTTCAACTTTTAAAACATACACATACATACATTATATATATATATAAATTTTGCATAAAATCTCATTAAATTATTGAGTTTTAAACATTTCTTAAAGAGTCTGGAAACGGTTCTCAGTCTAAACCACTACTTTCTGCAAGCCTACTCTGCTCTTATTGGTCAGATGGCTCAGTCGGTTGTGATTGTTCTACAGCTTACGGCGCGCGTCAGAAACGAAACGCCTATTATCAAATCTAAATTTCAGCTCTGGAGGCTTGATACACAGTTATAGGAACAGTAATGAGGCCGTTGTTTTTTCCGTATCAATTCAAGTACGAGTCCTCATCCTTTTGAAGTGCATGCAATGTGGATTCCCACCACAGAAAACAGTGGCTTCTCAACATGTCGACAACAAACACCAAACTCTTTCAGGCTGCAGCAACAACAACAGTGTTTGAGGGCGGGTCAAAGTAGACATTATTTGCAGACAGCTAATGAAAACTATAGGCTGGCATTATGTCAATTTGTTGCATTGTTATGTAGGCATGTAAGAGGAAGTGAGACTGGAATTGCTGACGACTAGTTACACAATTCAGAATCGGTTCTTTCTTCTAGGAGACAATAACTTTATATGTCGTACACTTTAATCTTTAATACTTTGCAGACGTTTTACATACACAAACAGCTATATTACACACTGCATGAAAGGTAATATTCAAGAAAGCATAAGAAAGCAGGGGCTGCACTTCAAGAAGAAATGTATATACAAAACTTATAATACAAAAGCAAAATTAATAGGTAATTAGAAGACTTTAACAAACCCAGAGGCAGCTCGGATGGCTTGCTTTGGGGTTCAGCAGTGGGTCTTGGTGCTCCGGGGTGATTATCAGGTGAAGGTCGAGGGGCCCCAGGATGCACCTCTGCTATGGGTCTGGGGGCTCCGGGATGAGCGGGAGGAGGAGGTCTAGCCTGAGGAGGGACACTGATAACTCCTGCTCGAGGTGGAATCTAAAGCAAAATCATAATATTTAACATGATACACATCTTATTTTTTTTAAATAATATTCATGTCAATTAGCCCACCCACCGGCCTTGGGGCGCCTCCAGGGGCAGATCCAGTTGGTTGACCTCGACCTGAAAAACAGCCGATGCCATAATCAAACATTCAGTAATAGTTATAGAAAATATGTTTGTGAAAATATCAGAAAACCTATATTTTGAAATTCAAATGCCACTCAATTAGTCTATACTAAAAAAACGATGATGGAAGATTAAACTTAAACAGATGCTTTAAAGGTCCCCTGACATCCCCTGGTTTTTTAACATTAATATGAGTTTCCCTAGCCTGTATATGGTCCACCAGTGGCTAGAAATTTCAATCGGTGTAAACCGAGCTTTGGCTATCTTTCTCTGCCTTTGAGAAAATGAAACCTCAGACGGGTTGATCTTGAATCTCCCCTGTATGACGTCATACGGAGGAAAGGTAACCACACCCTTCAAACAGACCATTCAAATCAGAGGCTAAAATCAGGCTAGGAAAAATGCCTTTTATTTCTAAATTATGACTATTTTTGATCTAAAAACATACTAACATTGTAAGGGCATCCCAGGAAACATTATAAAATAATAAAATAACCCCATGTCATGGGACCTTTAAAAGAAAGCCGCTCCTGTCAAGAGCGTCAACTAACTTTTTTTTTAGCACTATTTTGTTAAAACTAGCCTGAGACTTGCAAAATCATGGCATGGCAAAGTTTCTGTCACAGATGAGTGAGACAAGAACTCACCAGCTGCATCTGCACGTGCTAATGCTGGGCTTTTTTGTCCTTTTGTCAGCATGAGGGGAAAAGTTATTAAAAAGTTTGTAATTATTCAAAATTAGTTTTGTAGCACATTATAACCTTCAGCTGAGGAGAAAATACATTTGAACTGACTCCTAACCTGATGGAAAGATCCTTTCTTTCTTTTTTTTTTCTCTATTCAATTACAAAAGCTAATTCACCTAATTCAACCCAGCACTTCACACTCACAAACTAAATCAAAATCATTGGAACAACTGAGACTTCATGCACTGCAAGATGGTTGACTTGAACACACAAATTATAGATTTTATTTCCGTTAGCAAGTGCAGGAGGTCTCAACTGACCAGGAGGTCATCATACACAAGGACGAACACTGCAAGAATCTTCTAAAATCTAAATTTCTTTCAGAAATTACCTTCATAATCAGTCAGATCAAACTCTAGATTGAGAGGCTCAGCAAAGCCTTTGAAGGAAAATTCAAATCGTTTCCAAAAACATCATGAACAAAAATACAGTTGCAAAAACATTTACAGTGCAAACTTGATCTTCACAAACAACAATAAGACAAAATTACAACTTTGGCTCAAGAAAAGCATATGAAACACTACCAAACAGAACACAGAACCGCATCATAGTGCATTAAATTTAAAAAAGTTAACCACACTTTAATATCTAGGCCAACTAACTAACCAAATCACAACATTATATACAGCTTTACCTGCTGAATCTTTTCTAACAGGTGTAGTAGAACCTCCTTTAGAACCATTGTAAAATGTCAATGGAAAAAAAAAAGTGAAAAAAATTATGTACTGAAATTATGTACTTAATTATTAGTTAAGTACTGAATTATGTACTTATGTACACCCATTTGTTTGGGTGTTTCAATCACTGGAAAAACTGGTGTCAATTGGGTTTTAACTTCTGGTGAGAGCAGATCAGAAAATTATCATGCCTGTGTAAAAATGTACAAAGACTTCATAGCTGTACCTGAGGGTGGCGGTGGGCGCTGTGGAGGTGCAGGTCGGGCTGGTGGGGCATTGGGGCGTGGAGGAGGGGCGCGTTTTGGCTCTAGCCCCTGTGATGAAGGAGCTCCAGCTGGCTGACCATCAACCGGAGAAGCTGAGCAAAGAAAAACAAAAACATCTCATCATCAAAAGCATCAAAACAACAGCCTGAGAGATTCAGCTCAGCCCACAGCACTGCAAACCACATCGAAGCCTTGACACACATACACACACTCTATAAGCTCAGGAACCATTGAAGCACATCAAAACAGCACTCTTTACCTGCCAGTTCCCTTCTAATGGATGCTGGGCTTAATCCTCCTTTTCGCATTGTAAAAACAAAGGAAAATTAATGTACTGGAATATTTGGTCTTCTGGAATGCTCACCACTTATGCTCACTAAGACTGCATTTATTTTATCTAAAATACATTGTTTAATGCTGTGATGCCAAATCTGAATGTTAAGCATCATTAAAGTGATACTCCACTTTTTTGGGAAATAGGGAGCCTATTTCCAAAAAAAAAGTGGAGTATCCCTTCAATTCATCATTAAAAGTTTTAGTGTCACATTGACCGTTCAGAAATATTTAGTCAATTTTGATCAATTTATTGCATCCATAGTGAATAAAAGTATTAATTTATTTGAAAAATAAAAATCTTACTGACCCCAAAATTCCGAACTGTGGTGTAAAAATTAAATGTAGTAAAACGTAGGAAAGGACAAAGCAAAAAAAAAAACAAAAAAAACAAACCCTGATATAAATAAATTTGGGTTGGTCAACGTTGAGTAGAGTCAAATATTAGCATTACCCTGTGGTGGTCCAGCTGTGCGCGGGGGGGCTCTGCTGGGCCGGATGGGGGGCGCAGGCTCTCCATGGGTAGGAGAGGGGCAGGGGCTGCTGCGTGGGGATGGGTTTGGGGACGAGCCCAGATCCAAGCTCACTCTAGGCTGCAGGTGCTGGGGCAAGATATCCTCAACCTCTTCGTCCACATCCCCTGTCAACACAGCAGTAAAAGTTGAACTCCACACTGTCCCGTGTTTGCATTAGTTCATGTTGCATTTTGGAACCATGTAACCCAAACAGACCCATACCTTCCATTTCATACTCTTCTCCAATGTCAGAGTTTTCTGCCAGCAGAGTGGAGCTGGTGGACATTGGGATGCTGCCGCAGATTCTCTCCACACTCATTTCTTCCTCTAGACTCTTTATCCAACCAGGACTCCTCAGACGGATGTCTATGGTCTTTCCATTCACCTGCATAGGGTGGTGGGATATACATAATGACCTGTCATTATTATGATGCAGTATAATGCATTTCTGCATTTAAATGTTCTTTTTTTTTATTTTTATAATGAAACTTATTGTACAGTTGAGTCACTTACAGTAGAGGCACTCAATGACAGAGCTGCCAGTGCAGAGTATCCCTCCAAAAACGTCACCCACATTTTCTCTTCAACAAACCTGTTCAGGAAAAAAAAAAATGCTCTAAAGTTTGGGGTCGGTAAGAATTATTTATGTCTCTTATGCTCACCAAGGTGGCATTTATTTAAACAAAAATAGTAAAAATAGAAAAATACTTAAATATTGCCAGAATTTTAAATAACTGTCTCTATACATTCTATTTATTTTATACCCCATTGAATTTTATACACCATTATATTTTGGACCATCTTAGAAAATCTATGATAAATACTAAGGAAGTCAATGGCTACTGTCTGGTCGATGCCGATTTGTAATACCGTTTTGTAACAACTTGAGGGTGAGTAAATGATGACAGAATTTTCATTTTTGGGTGAACTATCCCTTTAATATTTTTGGGGATGAACAGAATTTTCAAAAGAACAGAATATATTTGAAATAAAAATCTTTTGTGACATTACATGTCTTAACTGTCACTTTCATCAAATTAATGAATACTTGTCCTTTACAAAAAAGAAAGAAAAATGCTAGTGTATAAATAAAGTTAAATAACAAACAAATATTAATAATAATTAAATTATACATGCAAACAATTCTTACCTGATGAGAATAACCTCGCCAAACTGAGCAAACTTGTCTAACAGGTCGTCGATCAAAGCATCATCAAAGTAGTCATCAGGACCAGAAGAGCAGAGAGCGACGAGGATGGTTCCATCAGGTGGACCCTGTAGGGCGATCACGTCCTTATACACCTGATGTCTGGCCTCTGGGTCCACCTCAAGTACGTCCATGTCTATGATGGCCACCACAGGCCTTTTGAGAGACTAATGTTAATGGCAATAGAACTGCGATCTCCCTTACACAAAAGCTTATGCGGTCCACAATGCGATTTAACGGTCCAATCCTGATCATTTTGGTAATAAGAAAACATAACAAAAACATACTTTTTATATTTTAACAATTACTTAATGGACAGCCTCCTGCTGTACCTCTGAGGCCAACTGGATGGCACTAAGAATGCTGTCAGTGTAAATCCTGAAAGTTATCTTTCTGGCTTTAGTCTCGCTCACCTGTGATCAGAGGTTTTGAGCTCTGCTCTACCATAGTACTTGAGCTCTCCAGGGCTCCATGGGTACTGATCTTCCTCACTCACTGGAGCTCCTACTACATTCAACTCCAATTCTTCGGCTGTAACACACACACAGGCAGATCTAGTAAAAATGTAAACTTGGAGGGAAGTAAGCTGTTTTATTCTGCATTTAAAATTTGGTTGTTGGTTAAGGATATATTCTTAATTAAATTCTCACCGGTTTTATCAAAGTTCCACTTTCTTCTCTTCCACAGCACACGGTCAGTCCAGGCCGGTGTGCGGCACTTCTCACTGGTGTCGTAGTCCTCCGAAAACAGGTCATATTTGTAAGTGGGGGCAAAATCCAGCTTCCCTTCAATAAAGCCTTTGAAAACCTGGAATGTGAATAAAGTAATAAAAAAAATGTCCAGAAGAGTGAAAAATGATTTGTTCTGCTGATATAGTTGTGCCCCCACACTAAAATACCTGTCCAGCATTCTTCTGCTCCACCAGTTGATCTCCAGCAATCAGTGAATCCCAATTCTGCTGTCTGATCAGCTCCTTCACCTCTTCATTAGGAATATTTATCCGGTAGTTGAAATCTCCACACCAGAATACATAATCATGGGAGTAAAGGAGACGACCCTAAAATATAATATAAATGTAAAAAAAAATCATAATTAAATAAAATGACTATATTACCATTTATTAATGATAAACATTTCATATTTCTTTGTATTTATATTAAAAAATACATATAAATAATGCACATATATTTATATTAATATTTATTATTATGCATCTAACATTACTAATAGCAGCAATATTACTGTATATTAAATAATATTATAATTGTTTTTTAATAGTTCATTCTAATGCACTTAAATATTAATACTACAACAGCTAATTAATATTGTCGATCAAAAAATGAACAAACTATTTATATTATTTCTGTAATTAATTACGATTAATCACACCTAACATTTAAAGTTTTTAATATATTTTTATATTGTAATAATTTCATATTTAATCTCCAAATAACTGTAGAAACACCATAATGACAGTAAATTTTAAATATGTGAACTAACAGGTAGGAAACATCCAGAAAATTAAATAGTTATCAAACACTTCACAATCTTCACTACATAATTTATAAATTAAATGTATATACATTTTTATTAAAGCTACAAAAGTTATTCAGTTGAAAGTAGTGAGGGATTTTCTATTATTCTTTTGTACTTTGATTAACATGATATCCAGCAGCAGGTTTATTAGGCTACTGTCACTTTAAAACATAATGCGTCATGCACATGGTACCCTTTTGACATCCATTTTCTGACAACCCTTTATGTTCATTTAATACTTGTTTCATCTAATTTAAGACTGTGCTTACGAGGATACTCAACAAAACGGCCATTTGACATAAGTTTGTGTTGTTTTTTCAAGCGTGAAAGCGAACAGCTGCTACAGTCTGAGGCAGCTTTCTGAGCACGTGCACTGAGTGTGAATCTCCTCCTGTAACGCACTTAGTTCTCTTCTTTGTTTTGTCATGCTGGAACGGTTTAAAAGCATTTGCATAAATAAGAGCGTGATCACAAAATATAATGCTAGCCAAAGGATTATGAAAAAAACAGATGAATTAAATATTTTTAACGTGTTAAATTGAAAAAAAAAATATCATGCGTTAATGTGTTAATTCTGACAGCCCTACTACTAATACCATTATAATTAAAAAAAGAAGAAGGTGATCATAACCTGAGCAGAAGTACATGCATTTTTACATCACAAATGGTTACCATAGGAAAGGTCAGTTTGCGTGCAATTTCATTGTAGTCGTCGTTCCTCTCTTTGACCTGTGACTGGCCAGCGGCAAAATGTGAGCACACGAAGCAGATGCTAGTTGTGTGGAAGAGCATGCGAATAGCCACTCCTCCTTTATTACCGGTGGCCCCGCCCATGCCAGTCTTCACTGTATCGACAGCAACGTCCCTATTATAGAACAGAAGTCATTTAAATCCTCTTAAATACTTGAAATGATCAAACTAATTTACAAGCTATTAAACATACCTGATGAACGGTGCATGCTGAGGGCGTATGAAGACGAACAGACACACACCCACCAGCTGCTCTGAGGCCAGCAGCACGTATTTTTGATCTCGTGAGAGGTTCTTCTGCAGTTCTGCAGCCCACAGCTTCTGATTAGTGGTGCTGCCAGGGAAGAAAGGAAAGTTAAACAGTTCTCAAAGGAATGAGAGCACGACGATTTCACAAAGAAATATTTAATGTCGATTGAAAGAAACTATTATTTTGCAGCACATTCCGACCACCGACCACAGGAAATGTTGTTTCCGCTTATCATGCAAGTACAGACAAAGAGCTTTTAAATCTCTAACATCAGGTTAGTTCTTACCTTGCGCTGACAATATTGCCAGCATTCAGCTCCACCATTTCCTCAAAGCCGATAGCAAAGATGTCCACGGGGTTGGATTTGTTATCTGCATGACAAAGCAGTAACAGGTCACTAAATTATTTTCATTAGTCATTTAACTGACAGATTTTAAAGAGGACCTATTATGGTATTTAGGACCCCTCTAAATAGACTGCAACCTAAATACACATTTCACTTTGAAGTATCATTTGCATCAACACATACCCTGGAATTCTGGATGTCCGGCCTTCTTAGGAGCATCCAACAACCAATCATTAAGTGTGTGGTTACGAAACGCAATGCTGCGGAATTGCTTGCCCCCGTTCACGTTCCATGTACCCACACACACTCTGATCTTCTTGGGTCGTGTGTACTTGTAGTAGTTCTGACACATGCCCAGAAGCACTCTGGGAGATGCTAAAAACAGTAAGGGAGACAAATTAAAATGATTAATGAGTACTACAGTTAGAAATAATATGAAATAATATCTTAGACATGGAACTAATGGCCAGACATTGACCAAACCATGATGAGACAGATTCAATTCTGTCCTTGAAAGTTGGACAAAATGATGTCGTATTTAAAATAAGACTACACAGACAATTAAAATGATGATAAAAAGATAAAAACACGCAGTGCAATGTCAGAGGCGCCAAAATAAACACAGAGTTTATGACATGAAAACATAAACAGTTATGGATTTATGGCTGGTCTGTGTATACTGTACCTGACTGTAAAATGGGCTCAGAGACTTAAACCGTAAGCATTAAGGAGAAAAAGAAAAAGAAAGGGAGAGGGGGAAAAGAGAGGTTAACAGTTAGCCGTTAGACAGATAACAGCATTAGTCCTCTTGTTCAGAGCTAATCTCACACCCAAAGCAGACGGGAGCCGGAGATTAGCACGCTAGCATGAGAAAACTCATTCAAACCCACATTCACACAATGAAATCAGTCCACTACAGCGGACGGATCTCATAAACCATGGCCACAAACACACAAAAAACAGTCCAGAGCATGTTTGAACGTAACCAACTGTATCTGAAACAGTAAAGTCTAAGAAGCATTTACCAGGTATTTGTAATATTGAATATATCTATATAATTAATTATATAATAATACTATATTCATTATGTACTTATGTTCACTAAATGGGTATTTTTTATCCCCATATTCCAAAAATGTGGGGTTTTTTTCTTACTTTCGGGGCAGAGTCCTGGTTTATTTCTGACTCTAGAGTGTGGCATTGTAAATCGTACCATAAAGGCTGCTGGTTGTGAGGAGGGCTCGTGCTTTATCTGCCAGGTCACTGTTGAGGGTGCTGCCCAGTCTCAGGATGTCAATGGCTTCCTGTTTAGAGCTGTCAAAGAAGTTGTTCTGAATGGTTCGGGTGACAGAACGAGCGCCGTCTTTTAGCTTTCCACCCTACAGGGGAAAAAAAACAAAGAAACAAAATAGTTAATATAAAACAGTTAAGGGCTGGAAAACAAAACAAAACAATTTATTTAAATGAACATCGGATCAATTCTTAAACAGGGATCCAGATTGCAGCTCAAAGGTCGGATTTTGCAACCTTTTTTCCTGCTGGTGCGACTAAATTTGGTTAGAGGTTGCACTGGTAAGAGCTACCATTTCTGTTCCATATGAAAAAACATCAAATGGCAAACAAAATGAAACAGGAAAGAAACTCGAAGCTCGATCGAAGCTCGGAGCAATATTAGACAGCGCAGCACAAGGTTTACTTGCGGGCCGATCTCTATCAAGTGTTTTTAGCGCAGGGAGATCCAGTGAGAAGTCGTCACAGCATTAATAGCATCGTAGAAAGATCTATTAATGGGAAGCATTCAAATTCGGTGCTTTGTTATAAACCATATCAGATCAAACAGCACTGACATGGAAACCAGGAGAAACATTGTGCCATGAACGAACAAGTTAAAGAAGGCTATTGAGTCCACAAATCACCAACATTCACCATGGATTTAATGTACCAACACTAACTGTAACCATGGTATTGTGGCAGAAACAGTCAAATGTGAAGCCTTTTGCCTTTCTTAACCTTTTGAGAGTGAAGTTCAAGGATTTTTAAAGTGCTTCACACTTTTTCAAGCAAAGCTCTACATGTTATACAATCTAAATGTTATTTTTAATGTGATGACCAAAAATAGAAAAAATATTACAATTTGATCAGCAGCTCAACTCAAGCTCAGCGCTTTACTGTCAAATGTGCATTTCCAAGAAATAAGCATGCAATATTATTAGTAACTGCACTTATTAATGCAAAATAATAGTAATTTTATGATTAAATTATCTTAATGATGAAAAATCCCCCCACGCCACAGCGCTACCAAATTAAAAGCTGGTGCCATCAACTGTAGAACTTAGTGGCTGGCTACGGTGCTACTGCTCTCAAATGTTAGACTGCAGCCCTGTTATATACATTTCTTTTCTGTGATTAGCTAGATAAAGCCTGAGGTTTGAGGCCTAGCTGCATGGGCGAGGTTCACAGGCTTTTATGGTTACGGTCTGGAAAGAGGCCTAATTAAAGCTGACAGCACTGCCAGCTTCAATAATCTCTCTCTATTAACACAACAGAACCGACACAAAACAAAACAGAGCAGACAAGATAAATACAGCATCACAACTCAAATGGACACTGGCTACAGTTAACTTACCGAACAGGAAGAGGAACAGCCATAGGAAAGCAAGAAAAACAGCAGACACATGAGTTAAGACAACCTTAACTTAGACAAAACTTGAAGAGAAAAGGTGAAAATCAAGCTTTTAATGTTTATATGTCTGTCTATTGTGTTTTAATTACAAACCATGTGCAATTTCATAAGTCAACACACCATTGGTGAGTATTTTCTCCTAAAAACTGCAGTGAACCAAAGACAAAATGGTTTAAAATCACTGGTGTTTGTGACGTCACAAACTACTTTGTAACCAATCAAGTCAACGTGTGATCGTCAATGAGTGGATCTCTGAGCTGGTGTGAGTGAGTGGAGGCAGGGCTACTTTGCATATTCATTGAACTGCGTATACTAAACGAGGCAACGGTGTATAGTTACATTCACGCTATTTTAAGGCATGACTAAAAAAAAAAGGTAAAAATATTTAAATATATCATGTTGGTAATTAAAGATGAGTTTTAAGGGATACAAATATTAACTATATGGGGACTTTAAGGGGCGAAGATAGCACAGAAACGTCAATTCTCAACCGTTGCCTTTTGTGCTGCATTCTTGCATGTGCTTTAAACAAACCTTAGCCTTGCCATCCAGAGCGCCAGTGCCTGCGTAGATTTTGCTGACGGAGTCTCCATTGGTGGACCACATAGAGCGGAAGACCTCCTGAAAGCGAGCCACCAGCTGAGGCTTCTCCGTCAGACCCATGTCCTCCAACTGTTTTGGAAGCATCTGAAAAAAAAGAGATATATTATGTAATATAATAAATGGAAGACACGCAAAATGTAAAAACAACTGTAACTGTTATAAATATACCTCAAGTGCAATGAAGGCCTGGACACTGTTTGTTCGGTCCAAGCAGTCCAGACAATTGGAACGAATAGTTCCAGTTTGACATCTGTGGTGAACACAATTGTGGTAGACAATTTATTCAGCTATTTTTGGTCATCACCGTAGCCAATTACTTTGTAGTCCCTGAATCTCTAGAGTGTCTGATTAGTTACTTGAATATTGTGTAAATAAACTATTTTGTCATTTAAATTTTATTAATATTAATTTTCAGAATCATAAATTGCATTATATTCACATTTTTTTTACCAGCCAAAATGTTGACAAAATATTTACTATTATTTATATATATATATATATATATATATATATATATATAATTCATTAAGTGTTTTACTTTGATTTTGTTGGTTTACATAATTTTTTTCTTTTATTTTAAAGGTGGGGTATGTAATTGTTTTTAACCATTTTTTTATTTTCAAAATCACTTGAAATCCTATTCCTAACCCACTTACAGTCACTGAGTTAGAAGCACTGAAATGAAAATCAAGCAATTTAATCATCTGTGGAAGAGAGAGAGAAAGTTTTTCAGATGCATGATTGCGTGTCCATGTTCTTTGCATGGGTGGAGTCAGGGCCAGAGTTGGAGGAATGAAGGTAGGACCTTTTTGAGTTGTGCATTTTAAAAATCTGCTGGCCGTTTTACAAATCCCATACACTACCTATAATCTTTTCATTAATTATTAGTATTACATCAACTCACAAAACCCCCTGTAGTTTCCTCAAGAGGCAGTTTGTGAAACCCTGTATTGTATAATTTATTATACCATATTACAAAGAAACTGTAAAACAATTACATTACATTATATTGTGCATATTAGCATAGATAAAAATGTCAATTTATTTCTGCTTTAAAGACCCCAGTGGCTAAAAAAACTAAAATACATATCATGCACTAGTTATTTCAAGTCGTAAACACAACAATTTAAATAAACAACCCGATGAAGAAAATGTTTTGTTATTCTATGCTATTCTTCCAGAACCAGCTGTGTTGGGACGGTTTATAACCCCACCTCTGAATGCCGGCCTCCCCTGAGTAGTAGAAGAAACCACATTCCTCCAGAAACTTGCTGATCTGAGGTTTCAGGTTAGTGTTGAGCTTGTCAGTCTTCCCACCTTTAACCATCTGATGATAGTCAAAGTTCAACATTTTCACAGCCTTTGCATGCTCCGAAGCGTTCAGGTGACTCTGTGGGCGAAGACAAAGAGTGTTTACACAGTAAAGAAAGCAGAAATGTAAGCAAAATGTTCTACTAAAGAAAAGAGATAAAATGAATATTTGTGTTTGCTGTAAAGTGGTTAGAAAAAATGAGATCGGAATGGGCTAAAATCGGCAGGTCAGAATCGACGCATCTCGAAAATAAATAAATAAAAATCACCTGGAATGCTTTACTGAGCATGTGTTCGCCCTCCTTCATACCCAGCAGGTTGATGATCACCTGTTTGCCATAGAGCCTCCTCAGAGCGCTGAAGTGTCTGGACAGGAAACATCACACAGGGTTAATAATACACATTCATACACGTTAATCGTACTGAAGCTGAATAAATAACAAATGTATCTACTCCAATGCTTCAAGAAAAATCAAAGGTGATTTTAAAACTAAGGAAGCTGCGGAAACGAGATCAATACGAGATCAATAGTTCATTCATGACGGAGGGTGAGGAATGAAAGCCTCACGACAGTGTTGTCTGCATCTACTTCTCATCACGACCTGACTCAGCACTCCAGGGAACAGAGCAGTGACTCATGACGAATAAAGAATGCCCATCATGCTCAGCGTGAGGAGCCAGGGCTGGATAAGAATAAATCCTCCCACATTTTCAAGATAAGATTTTATCATTTTAATCAATCTATTCCTTCATTGTTTTTAAAAAATCATAGGAAGAGATTGTATTGATGAAGAGAGAGGACATCTTAAGTGACCTTGACGAGGTCATGCCGAGGTCAAAACTGGCTCACAAATGCTGACCTTTTTTAGACTATCCATTTGATCAAAAATACAATTTTATAAATAACAAATGATCTGTTTTGAAAATACTTAAATATTGTATAAATAAGTTTTTTTGTATTAAATATAATTTATTTATAAATAGATTAATTGCCAATAAGAACGTGAAAAATTACAATTACATTATATTATATTACAGAGAAATTGTAATAGAATTAGTTGAAAAACATTTACACCCAAGAAACCATACACATAAATAAAATACATTTGGTTTAAATTTGAGTAATTTGATTTATTATTATTTAGCTTTGATTATTTTCTATTTCAGTTTAGTACTCCACTTCGTAACTTTAACTAATTTTTTTTATTTAAGTTTAAGATTTTCTTGTAATACACATTTTATTTAAGCTTAATTTCAGTATAATTTGAATATATTTATTTTTTATATTTTAATTGTTTATAAAACACTGAAAATGTATTAAAAATACAAATAATAAACTATTATTTTAATGTAATTATTAAAAAATGTTGGTCCCATTTTGTATTAGGTGTCTTTAACCACTATGTACTTTTATTACTATATTTATTTTAACAACAAGTAAAACATAAAAACATGTATGTACACTAAGTGCATTTTATAAATTAAGTACATAGTAGTTACTTAATCTAATAGTGTGCCTTACACTGTGAGACACCAATGTGTCCCTGAGCAAGACACTTAACCCCTAGTTGCTCCAGAGGCGTGCGACCTCTGACATATATAGCAAATGTAAGTCGCTTTGGATAAAAGTGTCAGCTAAATGAATAAATGTAAATGTAGTGGTCAAAGTATTATTTTACAGTTGGGTTTACTTTATAGAATGGGTTGAGATGTTTATATTATGATGAGTAAGGAGCTGGAAATCTTATGCTTGTATTCAGCATTACATGCTATCAATGCTGATGTCATGAGCCGTTTATATTTATGAGACAGCAATAAGTCTTGTTAAAAAAGTTCATATTTGAAATTGCGCCTTGAGACCCCCTGTAGCACTTCATCCAGCCGTTGGAAACTCATCTGATTGGGGTCCCTTTGGAAGACCCTAACTGCAAATCGACTAGTTAAAAACAAATCCTTACGCATGACTGAACATTCCCATCCAAACAGTGTTAAATAACAGGACTGATTGTTGAAGCAGGGCCCGCACTTCACAAACGTCTGCTGGATTGCTTTCATCACGCACTAATGTTTGGGCTCTGGCCAGAACAGCTGGACACTGGCGCACACAGCACCAGAAAGCAGCGAAATCATAATTACCTCTCAAAAGCAGGCGCGTTTGCTTCAAAACCTCGGGACAGCTTAACACGGTGGGATCCCACCTTTGTGCAAAAGAAAGAAAACACAAAAAAGGAAGAAGTGAACGATTTCATATTTGGTGCAAGAGGAAATTAAGGTGTCAAACGAAAGGAAGATGAGAGAGACAGCGAGAAAGACAACACAGGCCTGTCCCGCCTGCTGAGTAGAGATGCATTTGAAGATATGAAAAACATTTGCTGCAGAACACAGTTGAGCCATCAGTTATGACTTCAGAGATACCGATCATACCAGGAAACGCATGAATTTTCAACCTGCCTAGACAGTCATGAATCGAACTCTAGAGAGAAGTTTGAGCTTCTAATATTGGCTAGTTTCACTTATTACTAGTAGCAGGAAGCACCTTTCTAATAATGGTTTCCCATCTAAAGGACATCTGACCAACTGCTCACATATTTCTGTGTAATGCATTACGTTCACACCTACAACCATAATAGGTAAGCAATACAGAGGACTTTTCCATAAGTAGACTATGATGACTGGCTTCTCATTTCCTGCATTCTCATATAAGGTTACAACATTGAATACAACTGGTTCCTCTTCCAGCTATTTGACTGGTTCTTGGTGTCTTCTAACTAGGGTGACTGAAATACTCACCTTTCATTGTTTAAATTGTATGCCTTTTGTGTCATTTATTTTTATTCAAATTATTCCAAAATTTGCAACTAGGGGTCTTCAACAGGTGACCTGTGATGGTGCTGCAGTTGGTCCGTCAATTATTGTTTGATCTCAAACTAATCTTCAAGGAAAAAATTTAAAAATGTGTTAACCTAAAATCTATTTTAAAAAGTTAACTTAAAGCTTAAACAAGCAAAGCTTAAATAAAAAGTTAAATATGTGTCCCTATTACATTAAATAGTGTTATTTTAACATTATTTATATATTTTCATTGTATGTATTCATATTTTGAATTAGCTTTTATTTAAAATATTTAATATTGATTTACAGTTTACAAGTTTTAGTCATTTTTCCTATTTGTTTTATTTTTTAAATTTTATTTCAGTTAAGTTTTTGTAGATTTAGTACGTCAACTTAACATTTTTTTGAAAAGTTTATCATCTAATATTTATATTTAATTTTTTCAGCTATATTCTAATTAAGTTGTTACATTAATAAAGCATTTGCTGTGCTATTAACTATCAAATAAATAAAAACATTGATTATAAGTAACTACTTTTACTTAAATGTATTTACATTTATATTTAAATATGCTAATTAGTTGTTTATTTCCCCATCAAGATGTAAGATGGAACAAGATGTCCCTGTTTCACCTCCAACAAGAGGTCCTTATTATAGGTTGAAGACCCCTGGTTTAGAGCTGGTGTGGGACATTTATGCTTTAGATTCAGTCAGTCTGTGCAGAGTCCCACCCAATTCTCTTTGTAGCCTCTGCAGGTCTCTGCCATTAATATTTCATACATTCAGAATGGCAGCAGAGATGAGCTCACATTACCCTGAGCTTTCTGGGAGAAAAGAAAAAAGTATCATGTGGCGATCCTACTTCCATTATTTTGCTCTTAATTTTGCAGACAGTGAAGATAATGGACTCAGTTAAAAGGTAACTCTTGGCAAAAATGAAGCTAGGCTCCTTTTGTTTATCTACCCGAGTCAAACTTTCGTGTAAAAGCATAATTAGAATAGAAACGCCACTTTTAAGACTGACTGTATTTTCGTTTTAGGTAAAAATGCCTTTTGAATGGGAGTGCATGGGGCACTTCTATGATGGCATCAAAATCACTGTTTAAAAGGCCAAGAAGGCTCGACACAACATAAAACTGTGCTCGAAGTAACACCAGGGGCTCTACACATGAACCTGAGCATTGAATTCAGTGCTTGTGTACACAGTTTACTAAAAAAATTCAAATAATCGAAATAATAATTCAAAATTCCAGCCACCGGAAACACTGATAAACTGAGCCGCACAAAACCTTTCTTTTTAGTAAACTGTGTACACAAACAAACCGCTGGTGATACTTCGAGCACAGTTTTATTTAGTGTTTTAAAAACAGCGATTTTGATGCCATCATAGAAGTGCCCCATACACTCCCATTCAAAAGGAATTTTAACCTAAAACGAAAATACAGTCAATCTTAAAAGTGGTGTTTCCATTCGAATTATGCCTTTACACGGAAGTTTGACTAAACAAAAAGAGCCTAGGTTCGATTATGCCAAGAGTTACCCTTTAACCAACACCACCATGGCCTGAAATGACACAAAACACCTGTCATTCAGATTCAGTGCAAAGCTTTGAAAAACAGCTCAAGAAGGGTCACCTCACCAGCTTCCCACTAAAAGCAGAGATGATAACATCTATGCAATGTCAGAGGAAAGACACAGGCATTTCCAGACCTGCTTTCTGGCATCTTAACTTGATTTTGCAAGAAGGCAATACGTTCACCCGAATCTGGCTCTTTTCCAAAATAAATCTCGGTTTAGGTGCAACTTTCACTGACTGACATTGCACAAACTCTTTGCAGTAAAGAACAGATCATCCACCAGACAGAACTAAACCATCAATCTACCATCTTCTTGTTCCCATGTAGTCCTTTTGGCTCTCGACTTTGATTCAGCTGCAACACAATCCCCTGTAACGAGTGTTTCTGATAATATGAATAAAGGGGGTCAGCACTGGTGTGGTGTGATGAAGTGGAAACACAAGAAAATAGGTTTGTTATGAAGACTCAGCAGGGGCTTGGAACTCAGTGCTCACTCTTGAAAGCTCAGTGCAGTAGAGCCCAATGCAAATATTGTGAAAGCATGCGTCATATTGATTTAAAGCTTTATTGTACCTGAATTCCTGGCTGCTCCCAGAACAGAGGTATTGATCCTCGGATTTGAATGAAGGAGGATACTTTGTCATCAAGGAAAATAACCTGTAGGGAACACATTAGAAAATATATAATATTATTTTCAATGAATACGGTGTTTAAGTTAAAAAGCAAAGGTAATTTAAAATCCAATGCATGGAAGGTAGACTGGTGCAATGCATGGGAGAATTTAACCCTTGTGCATTGTTCAAATTCACTAGACTTTCGTTATGTTCGTGGCTGAAAAAAGCCACTACTTTAAACTGCTGTAAAAATGTATCAGATAAATATTTTTTTCAATTTTTTTTGCATAAATCTATTAACCGACCTCAGTCCTGATCAAAACTACTAATTTTTTTTAAAAAATTCAGGATTTTAACTCTTTAATTGCCAAATTCATAAAAGATGTCACTGATTTGGGGGGGAAAAAAACACAAAATGACTTATTTTCAATATAAAATATGATAGTGGACTGGATTTTTTTTTTACCTTTTATCACAGTCTTGGACATGTCAAAGATTAGAAACAACATTGGTTTTGATGCATTGTTAGTTTTTGTGTAGCATCAGATTTTAATTTTTTCTCCCTCATTTACTGTTTGTGGCTGTTTTTGCCCCATTGACTTCCATTATAACCACATTTTTTGATTGCAAAGCCATGACACCATAAAATCATGCATTTTTGAATGTTGATGGTTTTCCCTGTTGGGAAGAGGTAAAATTTGTAATTTTTACTGTTGATAACCAGGTGAAATTTCAAAAAAATTCCCAAAATATGTGTCAAAATAAGATTTGTCACCAAAAATCATTCCATTTGCTGAAACAAAGAAAAAGTTACGGCCAAATTAAGACTACAAAA